ATTTTTGTAACCACTTACACTAGAGACAGCTTCATAAATAAATGTTAGCAACGTATTAATAACAATAAAAAAAATTTAAAAAAAACATTTAAAGCTGTTTTCGCTGTGAAAACTTTTAAAAAAAGGTTTAATTTATCTAGATCCCTTTAACTGTTTAGGATTTCAACTTTACATAAGAGCAGAAAATTCGATTTCGACATATATATAGTATATAGCTTAGTAAACTCACTAATGCCAAAACAAATTTTATAAAAAAAATTCAATTAAAACTGATCAATTTTCACACATAATGCATTTCCTTTTTCGTAAAGTTTACAAGTAGTAAGATACTTTAATAGTAATTTTTTTTTTTTACATTTTTGTCAAGAATAAAAATCTACCAGATTCAAATAATACAGTACAGTCGAACTCGTTTATAACGAGCTCGGATTTAACGAGAACTCGGATTTACCTAGGGAAAAGAAAATATTTGGTTGGATCAATGTTAAGTCTATGAAACAGAAGTCGCTTTTAACGAGCAAGACCCGGTTTTAGCGAGCAATATTTTTCTGTCTTGCAAAATATAGATTTTATTGTTTTCANTTACTCGAGATTACGCTATTATTTTCATCCTTTTTATCGTTAAATTTTCTTACTTTAGTTGTTAATTTTTGTTTTGTTGTTAATGTTTGTTGTTTTTCTACTATATAGTCTATATCCCAATTTAGTTATTTTTTATACTCTTTAAATTAAATAAATATTAATTCACAGTAAAGATGCATGTTTCATACGAAAATGTCTAGTGTACTTCCATTTGTGATACGTGAACTTAAATTTTTGCTTATTCTATGTAAATTCAAATGGAGCTAAATAATTGTCAATTGCATTTAGAGAAATACAATTTATTTCTTTAGACAGTAGAAAAGATGGGCAATATTATTTGAGTAAACTTTTAAGGTTTATATTAAATTGACTATTGAAAAATTAACAATCTTATCTTTATTTCACTATATCTCAAAACTTGTTTTTCTGATATTTTCTTTTATTTCAAATGCAACAACTCAAAATGTTTTAGTTCAATTTACTTGAAATTTTTCATGGATGTTATATATATGAATGTCTAAGGAATAAACTAAAATCTAATTAATTCAATCATAATTTTTTATTTTACAGCTCAATTAAAACATTTAAATTGAAATTTTTGACTGTTTTTATAAAATTAGTTACGACATCAGGTGTAAAAAATTTAAATATTAATATTTTGACAAATGTGTAGTCTATTCCCTAAATTGATTATTTACGAGCACATTAAAACAAACATAATTTAAAAATATAAATTTTTAATTAAGTTAGGCGGTTTTTAAAAAAGGTTATTTTTTAATGAATTTGGACCAGTTTTTCCCCTGTAATTGAAAAAAAAAAAATTTATTTTTTATTGTTGTATGTTTATATCATGTTTTAGCACAGAATGCCTGCATAAATTCACTTAAAAAAAATTTTAATCAAAAATTTCAAAATTTTGTTATCGAAGGTGTTCGGATACCTTAACGACATAGAATTATTAGACAGCACAATACGTTTTGAAAAAAAAGTAGAAAATAAAGGGATCGCTTTAGTAGATTAAGATAATTTTTCGTGATAATTTTTTGAAATTTCAATGAAATTTTCCTCAAAACTTTAAAGCAATAAAATGATGCTATTCGCGATTTTGAATACGAAATTTAAAACTACACATTTGTCAGTTTTTAGATTTTTTAAAAATATAATTTTAACTTATGAAAACCGATTTAGGACATACTTTTAACATCAATTGCGTACAAAACACTAAAAGCAGGAAAATGTATACTATTTAATTACTTATCAGAAACTGTTGATTGCAGAATCATATTGGCATAATTTTGTCTGTAAAAATTAATAAAGAATTTAAAATACCGCACGCTTTATATCTCAAATTGTAATTGGGTGGTGGCTTTGTATTTTACTTGCATCGGTTCTGCCAAATAGAGTAAATATCAATCATCAGTTTATTAGTGAAAATTAAATAAAGAGTATTAAAAGCATATTTAATGTTTTCCGACCCTGTCTCCGCCCCCTTGACAGATGAATTCGGTCGGGAGAGGAAGGTCCTCTTAAAGAATAGTAGTTGAAGGCAAATTATTTAATACTGTAATAATAGTAATAATAGTGGTTTACTATAATAATAGTGGTTTGATGTACTTCTGTAATAAGTAAGTGTCTTTAGAGAGGGCTCACTTTGTCAGAAGAGACAGATAGTTTTATAAATAGTTGCAAACATTTTTTGATTCGGACAACTATTCCCAAAGACAGGCAAAATGCACGAGGCATTAAAAATTATATTAATATACCGCTCTCCTTGAAAAGAAACAATGGAATCAAACTTTCCAGTTTATAGCTAGCTGAAAACGTTTAAAGAAATCCTTGTATAGGTACGCTTCTTTGGTCTGTCTTCGTAATTTAAGTTATCGTTCGCAATTATTAATAAGAATATTAAAGTTAGTCTCTTTGATTATTAAGATTGCATTTTCTTAAACTCCACTTGTTGTGGAAGAGTGTTTGGATGCTCGAGATGTCTGAAAATCTAATGTAATCATTGCAGGAAAGAATGAAACTATTTCAACTATATAAACAAAAATCTCCAGAAGGAATACTTTGCTATGTTCTGTTAAAAAATTTAATTTTTTAAAAAAAATAATAAAAAGAATAAAGTTGTTGTTTTTAGTGAATGATCCACTGTCCACTTTGCTAGATGCTTCGAGTCATAGCTTAATTTGCCCCTCGTTCTATGAGCCGCATGGTAGAAATCTCCGTATTTCCCTAAATGTCAGTGACGAACAAAGACATAACTCCCCGCCCGTGGCAAACTCTTCTATCAGATGCCCAAAAACATAACTGTAATACACTTAAAATGAGTTGGAAAGATACGTACGATCTTAAAAGTAAACTGTAATTATATATAAATCCATTTTCCTGTTTTTCAAGCGAAAATTGATCTTAAGTAAAAAAAATTATTATTTCAACGAAATATTTGTGTTGATATATATTCAAAAAGTTTTCATGATCTGAAACTCCATTGTTTAATTTCTTTTAAAATTATATATTTCGTCATGAAATTGATTGTTTGAAGGAAATCTTTAGAAGTTTGTAACTTAATTCCATAACAGAGTGTCCTTAAACATTGAGAGTTTAGTGTCCTTCCACTGAGAGTTTAACTTACTTCCATAACAGAGTCCAACTTAATTCCATAACAGAGTGCCTCCATTGAGAGTTTAGTGTCCTTAAACAATAATTCCAATGATGGGGGACCGTGGATGTCCCCCGCTAGGCGTCAATACCAACTGTATTGGTCATGGCATTATGGATGCAAATTGAATGAATTCGATTATTATATCATAGTTTATTATGAATTATTCAGTTCACCTTCCTACACATACAACTGAATTTAATCTTTTCGATTGAAAGTAAACATTCTAACACGTGTTACTTCTTGGTCAACCGATTGAAGATCATTGACTTATCACTCGATCTGCCTCTAATTATACTATTGGTAAGCGTAGGAACACTTGTTTAGGACAATCGTAGGTCAACAACATTCCCGATTTTCCCTAGACACAAACCCACGAACAGAATCATCGGATCACTTTGAGGGGCCCAGGATAAAACATTTTGGAGGACTCTTATATTCTCTTTTTGAGTGGCGCTAGGAAAATGAATTACTTAGGACCCTGAATTTTTGCTTATATAATTGATGTAAATATGATTCATTTTTTTTTTATTTTTCAAATTTTATTCCTAAAAACGAACAATATTAACAATTAATTACATTTTTCTAACATGTCTGTTTATGCCTAATATGTCTGTTTAGATGTTTAACAAGTATTGTTATCCGCTATTTATATTTGTGATTGAAAATTGTTTAGATTTTTTCTAAATAAAAAATATTTCTTTACAAAAAAAGTCTTTTTATAAAGACTCTTTTAGATAAGTCAAACTGTACACAAAAATTCTTCAAATCTTTATAATGAAAAAAAGAAAAGAAAAAAAAGAGAGTTGAATAATTTTTTATGCTAAATAAACTTTATTATCCATTATTTATATATGTGTTTAGAAATTAATTACTGAGTTTTTAAATCGGATATTCGTTACGAATAAAAAAATGGAAAAAAGAAACAATCGCATTCTTTCAAGTAAGTCAAACTGCATTCGTTGAATCTTAATATCGATAAAAAAAATTTCTTGGAATCGTATCCATTTTAAATACGGACTAAAACTTTAATCAACCTTGAAATTGAGAAAAGAGAATTCAAGTATTACAATGACACTTAAAATTATGCTTCAATTGTTTTTTTTTTATTATTATTTATTTATTAATTTGACTGCTCTTTCTAAGCGCAAGAAGGCTAAGGAGTTTAAAATAATAAAAGTTAGAAGATTTTCCAAAAATACAGAGACAATATTGATATTAGGATGAAAATAAATAAAAACGAATTTTAATCTTTTTTTTTAAAAAAAAATATTTTCCCTTGTGAAGAGTATTGCGTAAAAAAATTATCCACTATAAGCAAATCTTCAAATATATTTTTAATTTTTTTCTAACAATAGAAATCATACGACTTCAAGAAATAGATCAATCTTATTTGAAATTTCCACTCCGCATAACTTTACTGGATTCTACGACTAAACCCTATTTCAGTACTAAAACCCTCAATTGAATATTATTTAATCATAGTCATTTGTCATATATTTGATGTATACTGTTATTTAATGATCATGATTAACCCTTTTCCCACTCTCAGGGTTAAGAGTATCTTGAAAAAATAGGACGCCTACCACTCATAAAAAAATCATTAAAAAAAACTCATGAGAATATTGCCATATTCTATAAAAACAGACTCTTTTCCAGAGAGCTATGAAAATGGCTCGTTGCCAAAATGTAAAGAAGAATAAAAAAAACCGTAAACACCCAAACGTGGGGAAAAAGAATGTCGCAAGAAGGAATTATTAACTTCGGAAAACACTCCTATACTCTTTTGTTGCTTGTAGATGCGGTGATTTTTACTTCTTCCTTTCTCTTACGCAAAGGGTGGAAGAAGTTAATGCGAAATCCTACGCATTGTAATGCATAGTCATCAATAGTTCCGCTTTCTGATTGCCTATTCGCATGTGGAATTAGTTTAGTGGGTATCGTCTGCTCTTTTGGATAACTTTGTTTGTGTTGAGTTGCTGTGTGCTTCTTATGGATTGAATCGTTTGCTAATGAATTGAGTATGAATTCAGGTAAATATTGCAAATGCAGTTTATTTTATTTAGCTATTTTATCTTATTTTTTAATTTTTGTTTATGATATTTATAATTAGACATGAATAAAATTATTACTTGTAGAATTTATTACTTATATTTTATTACAAAAAAGAATAAAAAAGAATCAGTATTGTTTTATGTTTAACAGATATGTACTACAAATTCTAACAAAAACTAATCGCATATATTAGTGTTACTTTTTTGAAGGTATTTGGTATCTCAAACGTTACCGGCATTTGGCTATTTTATAGTTTTATAGTGAAGTGCATTGTTTTGATAGAAAATTTAGATACCTACTGAATGTTGTGTATTTAGTATTATGTAAAAGTCCATTAAATAGGATAAATAAAATTTCATTTTTTTGCATGAGTGGCAATTCCATTTTCCATGAGTGGCACTTCTATTCAAGTATCTTCCGCTTTGTGCATGAGAAACGAGTATTCAGTCGATTTGAAAAACACAGTCACGATTCATAAATTAATATTTTTATTTGCATAAATATTTTTATTTGCATATTTTTTTATTTGCATATATATTTACTAATACAAATAAATAAATAAACAACTAAAAAAATTCTTCTGTCTTAAGACCAGGTGCGTAGCAAGTATTTATAACGAGCGGCGACAAATTCAGATTTTAGGCCCACTCTCAGAATGATGTCGAACTAGAATAGAACTTTTTAGTTTTAGATTATTTAAAAACATAAATTCATGGCTCGTCATTTTGTTATAGACTCTAAATTGAATAAGAATTTGCAAGCATTAAATGGTGTTTTTTAAAACAACGTTATTCTATAACTTAATAAATTTTGATTCGGTTTGGTAATTATTACGACTGCTAATGTTCAACTCTGTAGCCTGGTAATTTTGAACCCAACTCCTGGATCAGTATCCCCAGAGGTATGATTTGTTATGGCAACATGGAGAGCTTTGTAACTCGACAGATTAATCATTGTAGATCTGAATTAGTGCATCAGTCGATGGGGATCGAACCCACGATATAAATTAGAAAAAATTCATTATTTCAACATTATTTAATAATTAGCATTAATTTCAACGCCATTTTTTATTCGTTAGATGCCCGAGTCCACCATTTAAGTAAAAATAGTTTGCAAAAAATGAAAACTGTTCTGAATGAAAACTACACTAATTATGACATCTTATTGAATACTTAGGTAATGTGGATAAAAAAAAAGTAAAGAAAATATGAGACTTATAAATAGAAAATGAAACGCGCGTTACTTAAAAAAGATAAACATTTCATTCTCGAATTTATTTCGAATTACATTTCGCTAATTTGACGCCTCTTTGAGCCTGCCCCTGGAGACCCTTCGTCTGCAGAAGACCAACAGTCTTGCACAGTTTGAAGAAGTAGGGGTTCTGATATGAATAGTAACATTTGATATAGTATAAGAAAAAATTTATTTTTTTAAATTTTAATTACTATATGGTAGAGTAGTATACAACTCCAAACCAGCATAAACCGTAGCATTAACATAAATGATTGCCATCTTAAAAGCAAGCATCCTCTGTCGGGCTGTCAGGGGAATTCTTCGTTGTTTAATTTAGTCACTCGAAAGTCATACTTGAGTCACACTCAAAGCGTCACTCGAAAAAATCTTCCACTATGGCTAATTAGACGACATTTTCCTTAGAGAAATATGTTTTTCGTTTATTATTGAATTTCAAATTATGAGGAGAAAAATGCATGGCTACAAATTAATTATCTGAATACGCTTTTTATTATTTAAAGAAAGAGTATTTTTAAAATTCTCAGAGCTATTCGACTAAGTTTACTCAAATTTTGCATTTTACCATGTAAAACTACAATCTTTAAATTAATGTAAAAATCTACATATCCTATGATTTAAAAAATTTTCTACTATTACTAATAAATAAAATATTAAATATTTCTTGAATACTATTTTGTAATTGGAATTATCTTTGGATAAACGAATTTTATAACTGTGTGCAAAAAAATTCTCAATTCAATTAAAAAGTTCTCGAGATATGGCGAAATACGCTAAGAGTAAAATTAACATTAAAGTGTCCAAATTTTGGACCTCTCTCTTGATTAATATCATCCCATTTTTGGCTACCCCCCTTAATTTGGGAGTCAAGCATCCGAATCTGTCGAAAGAAAGGTTTGTTTATTCAGAGATACTGCGTTTTTGTGTCTGATTTTGTAACTTAAATTATCATTAACTATAACTACATAAATTGACCATATTCATTAACTATATAAATTATAACATTAATTAGCATATTTGAAATCACTCTTTTGAGCCATTGAGTCCTAGAATGTGGAGATTCTATCATTAAATCAAAAGTTATTCATAGTGGTCGTTTTTTTGTGTGCACTGTACAGTATATTATTATAAAAAATTTTTAGCGCAACGCCTTATGACCATTTCATAACATTCCATGGAATTTAAAGAAAAATAACAGTAATTACCATTTTCGGAATTCTTATAAACCATTAAGCCCAAATAAAACATATTCCTGCATAAAAAATATGTCATTTAAAATTAAAATTTCCTTAAGTTTGCAAAAAAATATATTAATTTTTTCCCTGCTAAATGGTTGTTAGTGTAAGATTATCATATTAGAACCAATATACATTCTTAAATTAATGAAACAATCAGCGACATTTAAAGCTAATGTACTAGATAATAAAGTTTAAAAAAATCATGTGCTTTAAATTTTTCGTAAAAAAGAATAGGTTCAGAAAGTTATACATTTATCTTTTTTACAGAAAGCTATGTTTGGAATTCGTGAAACGTTGACGTCAATGTAATATATAATTTTATTAAGGTAACTTTCTCATTTTCATGAAATTATTTTTAAAAAAACAAGAGATTATACTTATGCGGTAATTACACTTTTTCTCCCTTTTACACCTCTTAGTAACACTTTTTTCTAATAGCCGCAGAATACAATTGTTTCTGAAATTGCTAATTACAATTTGGATAATCAAAAATATTAAATAACAAATTGTACCGTAGCAATAATATTTTCCTTAACATTTAAAATTACAAAATTGTGATGGTGATTAACTTTGATCTCCTTCGGGGTTTTACTTTTAAAATTGAAATGTTTATTAACCAAATTAATCACCTTTTTTTGCTAATGTGTCTAAATAAGCAGAAGTTTTATTTTTACTGTTAAACGTGATGGATAAATTTGTAACTTAAACTACTATCTAGAGATTGTAAAAGCTATTGAAAACTACTAGGGTTATTTTTCGGATTTTCTGATCACTTATTGAAGTGTTATTTCTAGAATTTTTTTATGAGAAATAAATAAACAGAGAGAAGTGTTTTTCTTTATTTTTTTTATTTTCTAGACTTATTGAAAGAGCTTACTTAATTTTCTAATGACTTATTGAACGATTCTTAATCGGATTTCCTAAAACCTCATTGAACAAAGTAATGCACATCAAAATATTTTTGACTTATAAATCGAGGTCTTCCTTTAAGTTATTATTTTTGAATGAAACAAGGAACACTAGAAGACATTTTGAATTACAAATCGATAATTTACTTGAAAATATTTACATTAAAATATGAAAAAAAAATATATGAAAAAAAAAATTTACATTAAAATACTGTTTAGCTTACAAATAGATCATTTATTTCGTAGTGTTAGTTTTGAATAAAACAAGATACAGAATAACCTTTTTGGATAACATATTGATAATTCGCTTTAAAATATTAATTTTGTTAAAACAAGTCTATAATTTAATTAAAGTATTATTTAAACAAATAAGGTACAACAAAACACTTTTTGGGTAACAAATTTATTATTTACTATTAATTAATATAAGTCTTTGCAAATAAAATAGGCCATCTCAAGGTAAAGTGACTTATCCCCGCTTCAAATTTTTCGAAATCTCCGTTACCATGGTTTCGACAAATTTTGCTTTTTACTCGACGTAAGCATATTCCAACTTAACTTACAGCTGCGCGGGGGGGGGAATAGATTTCCCGAAACCATGGAAACGCCAGGGAGAAAAGTGTGGAGAATGAAGAAATCGCTTCACCATGAAACGTATTTACAAAGAAAATCAGTTTTGAATAAATTAAGGTACTTCAAACCTCTTTTTGGATACAAAATCAATGATTTCTTTAAAGTTTTAACTTTAAATGAAATAAAGTACATCGAAACACGTTATGGATTATACAGTGAAACATGCGGCTAAACTATATAAGGTTTTGTAGGTTATTTACGCATATTTCGTATAATATATATGAAACATGAGATTTAATGTGTTTTAACATTTGGTGAAAACAAATTAAATACTTACTAATCATTTGAAAATGTCTCCAATTAAACAATTTTCCTTTCTATTTTTATCTTGGACATTAGAAAAAACAGAAAGGTTCTTTGGTTCGTTGACTGTTTGTATAAACATTTTACCTTACTCATAAAAGTTTTTGAATTATTTATTCTTCGTGCGTGTTCGAAATTACATAATTTAATAGACATGAATCAGTAGGCTGTGTATGATATCGTGCGACGACAAAATATTCGAAATAAAAACATATATTTTACATCGTGCATTCAACTATACTGTAGTAGTTGAGACATTGGATCTAATATATCTAAAACAATTCACATCGGATTGAAGGGCAGGTTTTTTGAAGGACAAAAATGTCTGATATTTCAAGTTTTACGCATGATTCATGCTTTGGATGTTATTGTCTGCATTATTTCTCATGTTCGAACATTTCTAAAACAATGAAGTAATAAATTATAAAAAGTAAAAATCCCCAAACGAGAAAAATTCAACAAATGGTGTAGGCTTTTGAGAAATTAATGTGAAAGTCATTTTCTTGTCTTCACAGTTGTATTTGTAAAAGTGTTGAAACTATAACTATGTTTTATAAATTAGTAGCATTTTCAATGAAATAGGCATTATTAATGACATTTTTATTGAGAAAATTTTTTTTAAATTATTAAACGGAATTTTGAAAA